GAGAAGAGAAGAGAAGAGAAGAGAAGAGAAGAGAAGAGAAGAGAGAAGAGAAGAGAAAAGTGAAAGTTGCGATGGAACGCAATTTAGGGTGTTAGTTAGTGAGAAAGATCCTGGAGAAATTTCTAATTACCATCGTGCATATCCTGATTAGGGGGTACGTTAATCGTCGTGACAGAGACATTCTTTCCTGTTTCGGAAGAGCGGGCAGCAGTGATCGTTCCAGACGGTCCATTGCCAGACGGGGTGGAGGAACAGCAGCTGGTCGAGGAAGTGGCTGACGTGGTGGTCGCCAAGGAGGAGGTAGTGGTGGTGCAGGAAGCAGAGACGGAGGCGGAGCTGTCTGGAATGGTCGAACTACTAGTGGATGAGGAGGAGGCGGCGGTGCAAGAATTCGTTTTCCAGGATTGCGAGGCTGGCCACCAGCCAGGACCACCAGGCCCAGGGCCTGGACCTGGGCCCTCGCTGGGCCCGTTTTGCTCCGACATTCTCAGCTGGTCAATCTGTCGCACGCTCGTGATGCGACTCGCAGTCTCTGGATGGTCGCGAAAGCTTGCGGCATTCTGTTGGGCCTCGACAATTCCTCTGTGGCTTTTCTACGAACTTGGTCCTTGCGACTATCTTCCAGATAAGTTGTATATCTTTTTCTATTGGACGTCTATCGACCACAACAGCTCGACTTCAAACATCGAAGAACGATCGATGCCTGCGTGCCTGTGAATAAAAAAATTTCGTTATTATATTTTTAGCTTGATATTGGAGATAGATGTTGAGGCTTATTTAACTGCATGATTGCGAGCGTGTGTGTGTTTATATATATATATATATATATGTAACGCTTTATCATTGTCTAAGAGCTTTATTCGGAGGACAATTAAAAGTTCACCAACTTTTGAGATTTTAAAGAATTACAATTACGAGTGGTAAAAAATATCAAAGGAATATGAAGCGAGTGGCGAAGAAAGAGTCAGGAGTATGAAAAAGGAGTAATTCTTATCAGAGTGATATCAGAAGTGATTTCAGAAGGTAGAACGTCGCAAGAAAGTGCATTCAAGTGCACGGTGAACATTTACTGATCGCGTCTGAGAAGCAGAAGCTATGGAAGCGATCGCACACATCCAAGTTCCGCTAGTGTGCACCAACGGCCGTCCCGCAAGGCCGGTTCACTTCCGGTCTCGTAGAACCACTGATCGACCTTCATGCGGAAACGCAAACGCATTTCTTGCTCGTACCTTTTTCTCTTTGTAATCGATCACGCAATAAATACGACATAGAAAGACTGCTACAGAATTGCGATATTCGACGCGTCAACCACGCGTGTTTATTATAATACGTCCAAACGATAGTTCAATGTTTGGCTTTCCTCTAATTCCAAGCGATAGTACGTACTCATTGTACGTTTTACCATGTTACAATTGATATTTGATGCCTTTACGGCATGAAATTTGTGCATTATTTAATTATTACGAACATATGAATATGTCGAGTGTGATATTTGGTACAATCACATCTGTACGATTATACAAGTTGTAAAAGAAACGAAAGCAAATGAACTTGGTTCAATGAATAATGATGAAAATGACTTTTGTGTTATAGATGTGGAACCTTAGTTGCGTGCAGTGTTTCCTATATTATCAACTCGTAAGACTGACTTAGTTCAATTACAATCAATAGATAAATATAGTTTGTGCAAAGAGATTCCTCCGTTGGTTTGACGAAATGCTTTGCGAAGACGCCAACTATTGGAGTTGGTACGATATCGGAGACGAGTGGAGATCTTGCGCAAATGTGCACGAGTCGGTGGGGAAACGAGTCGAATTAAACGGTAAGAAAATGAAGCGTCACGCGGCCATATCGGCCTCTTCGGATCCTCGGATGTTCGTAAAGGCCACGACGATGGTAGTTACAACTATGGCTGCGACGCCGACGGTAAGGTCAAGGCCCTCTGCAACCGCCCTACCCAACTCCGATGTACCTTCGTGGTCACGTGACGCGACTCAAGGTCTTTTCTCCCTACTCTAACTGGCACACCGACCATGCCACCGCACACCGCCATGCCCACCACAATGCACCAGCATTGCATTTTTTTTTTTTTTTTT